TCCTGTCTACGTGCTACATGCCCGGCCCATGTCTATTTCCTCTTCTTTATTTCAACTATGATATCCTTAACCCCCGTTTGTGCCCTAATCCACTCTGCTCTCTTCTTGTCTCTTAAGGTTACACCTACCATTTTTCTTTCCATTGCTCGCTGCGTCGTCCTCAATTTAAGCTGAACCCTCTTTGTAAGTCTCCAGGTTTCTGCTCCGTAGCTAAGTACTGGCAAGATACCGCTGTTATATACCTTCCTCTTGAGGGATAGTGGCAATCTACCTGTCATAATTTGAGAGTGCTTGCCATAATTTGAGAGTGCTTGATTTGATTGAATGGAAGGGCCTAAAATGCGCATGTGGTCGACTTGTGGCACGGCTACACCATTGACATAGATTTGGATGGCTGGTTGGGGAAGGTACTTGTTCCGACGGCGGTCGGGAGGACGAAGCAGCAAGAGCTCCGACTTGCTGTCCAAGCACGTGAGGCCTGCTTGCGTCGCGTGGCTAACGACGGCCGCACCTTGGAGGATCTCGTCTATCTCGCTATCTGAACCCGTAGTCGTCCACAGCGTGACGCCGTCATAGATGGTATGACGAAGGCCCGGGATGCCATCACGTGGAGAAGGCAGCGTGCGCATGGCAAAGTTAAATAAAAATGGAGACAAAACCGCTCCTTGAGGGGTGCCTTTGTCTCCTAGTGTGAGGTGTATAGAGGCGGAGCCACCGGCTAACGATGCTTCAGCGGTACGGTTCAAAAGGATGTCGCATACATAGTTATAAGTACGTTCACCCGGGTCAATGGCGGCAAGGTTTGAGGCGATGGCTTCGTGTCGCACCGAGTCGAATGCCTTGTGAAGATCTAGACCAAGCACGGCGCGAGTGCCGGCGGGCTACGAAGGAGGTCATAGTGTATTTGCACTAGTGCGTGTGGCTTGGATTGGTGGGCGCGAAAGCCGAGCATCGTGGGAGGGAGAAGGTCATTTTCTTTAGCGTAGGTCGGTAATCGGGCACGGACAATATATTCTATTAACTTGCCAATGCAAGATGTGAGCGATATGAAGCGTAGGTTGGCGATGTCCATCTTAATTCTTGCATAGTTTGGGGATAAATACGAGCCTTGCGTGTCTCCACTCCTGTGGTATGTGGCCCGAGCGCCAGCACTCGTTAGGGTACCGCGCGAGCGCAGCCACCGATTTCACGTCGAGATTTCGGAGGGACTTGTTGCTTGCGCCAACGTTGTGTGAAGTTTGAGCATTGCGGCGTAGATTTCCACCTCCGTAATATCTTCGTCCAGTCGGGGGTTTGGTTTGCTGCTGTATGGGGGAAAGCACTCCGGTGCGGCGTTCGGCTGGGCGAGGTTCACGTAGCGACAAGTCAACTCTTCGAGCAGCTCGGCGTTCGTGCCAGGGTAATGATATGTAGCAGCCGGTAAAGCTGTTTTTGCGGAGACGATTGGACGCACTGGGATCGAGCAAGTGTCATAGTAGGTGCCACGTTCTCTTCTGCCCATTGAGACTGTCACACAGCTGACCCCACTGCTGTCTCGAGAAGGCGAGGTGTGGTTCTCAATTTCACGCACTAGCACTTCGATGCGACGGCGTAATTTCTTGTTGCGACGCTGCCAGCGCCACCCGCGCATGAAGCTAGCGTGTGCGTCCCACATATGGAGGAGGCGAGAGTCGCTTGTGGGCAAGTCGGTAGTCTCCACTTCACGGGTTGTGACTTGCACGTGCTCTTGCGAGGAAGCGATCTATTCATTGATGTCCGTAATGGTGTGGGAGGCTTGTTCTTCACGCAACTGGTGAAATTTCGGCTAATCAGTTAAGTAGCACGCGTAACGTTCTTGCAGAGTGTTAGGTCTGGCGATGTGTCACGGCACACACTGTTGCCTATGCATGTGAGCAGCTGCTGCGGATCGTTAAGCAGGATAAGGCGAAGGTCTTGTACTAACGACCATAGCTTTCTGCCTTTTGATCTGTGTGCATGTAGCACCAATCGGGATGCCGTGCGTTAAAGTCACCGAGCAAGAGCAGCTGTGCGTCTCCGACGAGAGCGATCGTCGCAGTGAAGAGGCGAGAGAAGTCTGCCGGTTTCTCACGGAGTGAACTGTACACATTCAGGATGAAGAGTGACTTGCCTGTGCGTTTGCGAGGTAGAATCTCTACGATTGTATGTTGAATGCCCGTTGCTTCCAATTCGAGCTGTACAGCTGTGAGGCTGCTGTGAACGAGCATATATGTGCGGATGTGCAGGAGGAAGCATGCGTATCAAGCTGATGGTAGGCTACCGGGGAGGGTGGAAAGAGTAGACGTCTCTTGCAAGGCGATAACATCTGGGGCTGGTTCCGTCGCCTGCGGATCAGCTTGCAGTTTCTGTACGAGCTGCTGCAGGTGGCTCCATTTCTTGCAGTACCCCCTGCAGTTCCACTGCAATATGGTCAGTGTGGGACACAAAATGATTAAGCCATTGCAGGCTTGGGGCCCGCCTGCAGCGTGGCAGGTTGGTCGAACGTGGGCGGATGCTCGTGGCGCTCGAGTCGTGCATGAATTTCGGCGGTGGTGGACTCGGTGTAATTTTTTAGAGCATTCAGTGAATTATTGGTGGCCTCCGTATAACTCTTCAGGGCGTTCATGGCCTGTTGCAGAGTGTTGAAACGGACTTTGAATTTCGCGTCTAGGGTCGTGAGAGCCGCAGATACTGCTTTAGAGACCGCCGTAGCGATATCAACTTCGGCATGAAGTGACGCGATGGAGGTGTTTGCTTTGCGCTTACCCTCGAGCTGCGATTGCGGCTGAAATTGGGAAGAGGCGGCCTCCATCGGTTTCGACGTATTCGCGGCTGGTTGCTCAAGGGCTTTTTTTAGCTTTGCTTCTAGTGATTGGATGTATTGTGTGAGGTTTCCTATCCGAGACATTAGAGAGCTGAGACTGCTGCGAGGAAAGTTGTGCCTCAAGTGAGGAGTTCTCCCTGACCATTCCCTCACCTGTGGATCCTGCGACGACGTTGGTGATGCTTTGAGCGACGCTGGGGGTCCTTGGGCCCAGGCAAGCTTCTTGGGACCAGGCACGGATGATGACTGTGACAATCCCTGGGACAAACAAGGGGAGGGGAGAGAGGCGACGATGACGAGTCGAGGTAGCTAGCAGAACGGGACTTGAACTGCGACTTATTTGGACCTGCACTTGGACCGGGGCCTCGACTGGGATCGGCCACGGTTGCGGGGTCCGGAATGGTCGGTTTGTTGCTGCTGCTGCTGCGGCTGGTCAAGAGGCAGGTATGACTGATGTTGGGACGGTGAGTGATTGGTGCGAAGGATTGATGGCTACTGCGGTTGTGGCTCTTCGTCGAGTGCTTGCGCTGGTGCGTAGCCGGACGGGGTAGGCTTCTTAACGAAACAGTATTCGCAGTTTGAACTGTTCGTTGAGTGACCGCCCTTACAAACGATGCAGCGGGCACGGCATGTTGGTTGGGTGCCCTGTGGAATCAGCGGGTGTTCCTCGCCACAACGGGCACAGCGGTTGCGTTTTGAAGGAGGGCAAACGCCAGTTCGATGACCCACCTTGCAGCAGTTAATGCATGCTTCTACTCTTGGGTAAAAAGGGTAGAGGCGAATGCAGACGCTGTGATAGAAGATCTATCGTGCCAAACAATCTCCAAGCATGGTGATGAGTAGATGGTTGGTCCGTTCTATGCGAAGGCCACCCACGACAGGCATAGTTGGGTTGCTCTCTTGCAAGTCCTTCAAGATTTCTGCATCAGTAAAGCTGTCGTAGGCATTGAACATGATGTCACGAAATGCATCGTCGGGTGGTGGGGCGTAAACGTGAAATTACATGGTCCGGAGTCCATTCTGCAGTGACGTGATGTGAAAGTAGGCTTGTGCTCGGACGGATTCTCGCACACTGAGGGTGAAGGTGTTGTTTGTGGGGTGAACCCGCACTTTGTCATGGGACGCTGGTGGCTGGACCGGTAACGACGCGGCCTTCAGCAGGGCTTCGTACAGTTGCCGTGGCGGCAGCTTCGTAAGGTCGACGAGAGTTTTTGGCTGTCCCACAGTGTGGATGGCGTCAGGCGACATCCTAGCTAGTGGACCATGTCTTCGCAGGGGCGGCGGGCGCGGTTTCAGGTCGTTATGTGGGGGAGTCGCTTGCTGGGCGCCGTTCAGGTGCAGCGTTGCCTGGCGGAGCTCGAGGCGTCGCTTCTCCTGGGCGTGAAGACCGGGCGATGGCTGCCAAGAGTCATACGACCATTCTTCTGCCGAAATTGTGGTTTCTTTAACCATGCACTCCATGTCGGGGGCGACCGGGCGTGGCAGGAACGCGGGGAGAAGCACTAAAGCACTGGCAAAAAGCCTACGCGAAAGAAAGTGCGAGCGTTGCAAGAGACGCCCCTCACAGACGCGAGAGCAAGGAACGCACGTCCGCTCTCTTCGAAAGCTCGAGAAAGGCTCCCGACACGCGGTGAGCGCGCGGTAGGTGAAGGAGAGACGTCAGAAGCGTAACGCCCCTAAAATTTCACTGCGCACTGCTGAGAGGGCGTGACCAACTCGCCACCGCTCCAACACCTGCCGCGAAGAGAGCGGTGCGGACGTATGTTCAGGCACACAGGCTAGTTAGAGAGCTGCTTCGCATCTAAAAAAAAAAAAAATGCGCATGCTGAAATCCCATGCGCTCTGCTGTCTGCCACGGTTTTCGCCGCAGCTTGAGAAATCCGCTCCCTTTCGCGGTAGCCGGACGAGCGAGACGATGCTTGGGACGACTAGAAGGCATGTACGGCCGAAGACATGGATTGTATGAAACTTTATGGCCGGAGAGAACCACGCCGCGCGCTCTCCATCTCGGAGGCCATGATTCCGCAAATTGACATTTGAAATATTAGCATATTATTTTTCCTTTATTTTTTGCGCGTTTTTTTACTTTTTATTTGATTGGTGGCTCTCAATTATCGACTGTTAACAGAGTTTGCGTTTTTTTTGTGTGTGTGGGCTGTACTTGACGTAGTAAGTTTACAAGCTGTTCGCAACAATGGGAGTGCTGTCGTTCATTGCCGCTGGCCAAAGGAGTAGTTGCTGTTATTCTAGCTTCTCTGCTCTAGCGTTGAAGTGGGCGCCGACGAAACTATCTTAGCGAACTGTCACTAAGAATTTGGAGCCGGTGCAACGATGAGCAGAACCGAGTTTACCGTACGATAGCAATTATCTGCTACGGCTTGGCTGTTTTGCGCTCGCCGCCTGCAGGACATCGCTGGGTCTCGACATGGACTACCCAGGCCGAAAGCTGTCGTGAGTTGTGTCGGTTTCGGGACGTCTCTATAAGCCTAACGCCAAATCCGCCAAATCCGGCGAGGCTGCCAGCACGTAGATGCCGTTCAGCTTTAACTTAATTGCTTTCCCGGGCGCCTTTGTTGGGTGCAACGCTTCTGTGCAATGCGTCTGTTTTGGGGCAGTCTTTGATCGTGTGCGTAGGTCGAGGGGGAGGGGCCGGAGTAGCGCCGCTTATCTCACAAGGTGCTTGTCTTTGGCGCAGCACCTCCGGAGACTCCCTGTACGAAATTTTGGGTCTGCCGAAGACGTCGACGCCTGAAGACATAAAGAGGACTTACCGGAGGGTAAGTTTCTCGATTGCTTGTTTGGCGGTTTTGATGCTGTGAACCAGTGTCGTTTCCAGTTGGAACACGCGTTATACAGCAAAGCGTTCTGGTCAAATGAGTAGGTGCATTTATTCGTACCCTGCAGGGGATAAAAAGGAATTTGGGAATACCGTTCGCAAGCGCTGCGGGCTTAGCGGGCGCCATATGAGTTTTAGAATAGCGTTTGCCCTGCTGCAAACCGCAACGCACAGCGACACCGTAGCCTCGAAACCAGCGTTCGCGGGCGACATGCGTGCTGCGATCGCCGCACGCTATTTCGGATTTTCTGCGCGCGGGCCGCGAACGCCGACCCGCGTTACGATGCATGCGCAGTGGCAGCGACGGCACCGCAAGAGCTCGCAGTGCGCTATTCTAAAACTCCCTAAGGTAGCAGTATGAATAACAGAAAACTCGGCTAGTTGAGTATTCATTCTATGAAAAACGGGGTGTGCAAACACGGTCACAAAAAAGAAGTCGAGACACCTTAAACGCTAAAAATGCGCACAATGGTGAAAATAAGGGGAAAAAAAGGCAGGAAAACTTATCTGTGCAAGCCCGCGAACCTATCGATCCGGCATGCATGGTTGTCTTAAGAGAAATATGACTGCAGGCATTTGATTTCATCTTTATGCAAGTTAATTGACCGCTGGCTCAATGCGCTACCGCTTATCTCAGACACGTTTAGTCATTCCTATGACTGTGCATTCACCTTTATCCATCATTACAGTCCCGACAATGTAAAAAAAGATTAGAATGTTCTCTAATGTTCCAGTAATATCTAGTTAATGGAACGGCCCGTCTGCCCTACAAACTCGTGTTATTGCAAACTGTTTTGTCTAGAACCGTTGATAATACTTCAAGGTATCTACATTAGGTTCGCAACATACAAGCCAAATAACACCTTAATTGTTCTTTTTTTTACTTGCCAGTTGCTGTCACACATGTAAGGCACCTTTCTTTCTGTTTCGTGCCTGTAGTTAGCTCTCAAGTATCACCCGGACAAGAATCCTGACAACCCAGAAGCTGCTGAGAAAGTGAGTGGCCTTTTTATGCCTATATTGAAGCTTGTCAGCTGTGTCACATTCTTTTGTACAAACGAAATTCCACTTGTCTAGAATGCCGGGCCAGCCACTTCAGCTTCCATTTTCTTTGGAAGTATGCAAAGACCAAGGCTGTAATGATACCTATCCTATCGGGAAAAAAAACTAATGGTGGGCATGGTGTAAACTGTCACCCACCATTATAGTGGATTAATGTAGTGGGTGAATGCTGGGAAATGTCCACCATGGTGTATGGTGGGATATGGTGGATGCTGCAGTGCCGGCAACGCTTGAGCGTGAGGTAGCGTCAGAATCACTGTGACGAGCTGCCACAAAAAATGAAAGAATTGCATAAAAAAAACTATATAAGAACACCTGTAAAAAAGAAAAAAAGGAAGCTGGCCACCACGGAGATTCGAACGTGTAACCTGCGGATTCTCATTTGAACATACTAACCACTGCGCCATACCAACATGACGAAATTTGTGTGTTAAATAGCTAGTTCACGTACGAACTGATGGTTCACTTCAGTTATGTTTGTCGCGTACTTGACATAGACGAGATCTGCACCTGCGTCCTCGCCACGGTGGTCTAGTGGCTAAGGTACTTGGCTGCTGACCCGCAGGTCGCGGGATGGAATCCCGGCTGCGGCGGCTGCATTTCCGATGGAGGTGGAAATGTTGTAGGCCCGTGTGCTCAGATTTGGGTGCACGTTAAAGAACCCCAGGTGGTCGAAATTTCCGGAGCCCTTCACTACGGCGTCTCTCATAATCATACGGTGGTTTTGGGACGTTAAACCCCACATATCAATGAACCAATCTGCACCTGCTACGAAAATTAGCACATTTATTAAACACAAGCAACTGCTGCCTGTAACGATTGCCTCTGCGATAGCGGCAGCAGCGCTACGTTTTTGTTACAATTCACAACCGCAAAAAAAAAGTGGACTGAAGACCCGGTACAGTTTACCGGCAGGGTCTGCCAAATTTAATATCCATTTCTTGCTTGTTCCAAAGGGCTACATCTGCTCTGGCTTTATCATGCCTCTGGTGTCATTCCGTAAATACGTCCACTTTGTTGATTGAGTATTGGGGCGCTTTTCGCGCAACGTAGAGTGCAGTTGTGCCAGCGCACTGCTGTAGCTATACCGTTAGCAACAACTACATAACGGCTTGGCCCAAACGAATGCAGTGCGCCGGGAACATTATGCTATCATATTGGTTCTGCAAACATACGAATTGCCAAGTCTATGTTCTCGCATAAGAGCCAGAGAAGTGCCGGCGCGTGCGACCGGCGGCTGTTGGTGAGGAAAGACGTTCGTTCTCTTGAAGTCCTGGAATCGCGTCGCATTGATGTTTGTCGCTTCTTGCGCAGACACCGCACACAAAAAAAAAATGTTTCATTTGGGTTAATTGATGCTGTGGCTGTGCTGTACTGTCATTCTTACTCGTTGAAATTGGGTATTCTGAAACCCAGAAGTGCGGATAACACAATTGTACGGGCTCGTTCGGCAGGCCTAACCTTTGCTGGAAATAGTGGTGATAAACATGTAGTGTTCAGATCCCAGCTTGGTACTCTATATATATTGCCCGCCATTATAAGCCCACCCATCATCTGCTTACTGATTCCCAGCATTATCGCAATGGTGGGCAGAGCTTCTCAGCTTGATACACCATATGGCTCCCCATAATAAGCACCACCCATCGTCTGCTTAGTCCTTCCCAGCATTATCGTAATGGTGGGAAGAGCTTCTCAGCTTGGTACACTATGTGGCCCACCATAATAAGCACCACCCACCATCTCCTTAGTGCTTCCCACCATTATCGCTATGGTGGGCAGAGCCTCACATTATTGCCCACTATCTAGCCGCTACTTCCAACCATCGTTTTCACTTTACCCATCTTCTGTACACCCTGGCTGTGTTCCAATTCTTAGACAGCACGTAGACAGTCTATGCAGACTGCTTAGAAGACGGCGCCGAGCCCATGCTGTCTGAGAATTTGAAGACATTTAGACAGCTTTTATGCGACCATGCACCACCTCGCGCCGAGAAGAAAAAGCTAAAAGAAACAAACGTAACAGTTGTAATTTCTGGCTTATTTCGTGTTGAAATAAAAAAAAAAACTTTACTCGCATTGAGCGTCTGGGAAAGCGTCTACTTGTGTGCATACGGCCATTCTGGCGAGATTTGATCTATCTGAACGATTCGCTGAGCAGCCATCTTGTTTAGAAAGCAAAGTAGCCTGCATCGTATTTGTCTACGATGCGGTCATCTCAGAGCTGTTTACTTTGCCGGCTACGTGAGAATTGGAGTGGGACTTAAGATGGCCGCCGTCCATTTAGCTGTCTATTTAGCCGTTTACGGTGAGTATTGGAACACAGCCCATGCCACCCAGTATGTCCCAGCATATCCATTACAATTTCCACTACATACCGTCATATCCACCATAATTTCCACTATACCCACTATTATTTCCACTATACCCACCGTGTTTTCCAGTACCCACCATGGTAGCTTTTACCTAACATAGTCGTACTGCATGCTAGGACTTTGTGCTATAATTCAAGCATGAACAGAAGCTTGTAGCCAACGTAAGGTAGCAGCTGCGGACAACAAAAACCTCCAGGCCTGCACAGAGTGCACAGTCACAGCGAAAGCCTGAAAACTGGCCTTTCTAGAACCTTTTTTAACATTCAGTGCATACATTGGCGCTCCTACTGTCACTATCTAATGAGTGACATTGTGGCGTATCGGGTCTTCAAGAGATGGAGCACAAAAGAGGTTGGAAAATTCTTGCAGAAGTGTAGACCACGACGGGGAGATTTTTGCATGAGCTTGCACGAGACGCAAGGGTGGCAAACTTAATGTCATGCCTTGAACTGTGAAGAGGGTCTCGGAATTCACGAAATGGCTATGTCGTAGGTCTACCACAAGCTTGAAACGCCAAAGAAAATCCACACCAATGATGGGTGCACGCAAGTCGGGGATGAACAGACCTATGAACCTATCAACAGACCTCTGTCCATAGGTTCGTATGGCTGAACCATTGATCGCTGTGACAGGCTGCGAGGTCTGGCGGCGGCGGCGGTCCTCCAACGTAGGAGGAACAACAACACTTCGGCACCTGTGTCGATGAGGTAACACTTTGGTGACGTGGTTCGTGACATGGAATAAGCGGCTGTATGTCGTGCCTGAAACACTGGCCGCAGTCAGTATGTGGCCCGTGTGTTTCTCGCAAACTGGCATGGCTGTTTGCACTGACGAGCTCGAGCTTCGTATCAGTGGTGGTACTAGCAGACGCTGAGAGGCAGCCTTGGCGATCTTTCGCGGCTTTGGTGTCGTTGTTGTGACGCATTGCGACGGTGGTGTACCTTGAGTGCGCTCAGTTTAGTGGCCAACTGATCCACCTTGTGGTTGAGCTCCTCGTTAGCTTGAAGAAGGCGGCCCAAGCGGTCGTCTAAGACCAGCACAGATAGAATAGATTCACGATCGCAAATATGGACGGGGAACCGATATTCTTAATCTTGTCAGCCATCTGTGCTAGTGAGTCGAGGGTTTGTGTAGAGGATACACTCAAAATCATCCGCACCTGCTGTGGCAGTCGCTGTAAGAGTTCGCGTAAGATGGAGGCATCCAATGCAGCAGAGTGGTCCCCGATCATGTCTCGCATGCGACGCAGAAGCTCCATAGGCGTTCGGTCACTTAGTTCTTCCGAAGTGAGCAGCTGCTGCAGCCTACGTTGTTGCGACTTAGTTGTCCGGCTGTGAGCTCGTCTAAGGTTTTCGTAGGGGTTGTCAGGAGTTGGAAAACGCAGAATGTCTTACGATGGAGATGACAGCAGGTGGTAAAGCGCCGATGACGTAATCGTACCCTGTTTGCGATGTAACCGGTGTCGTCAGTCAAGTCGCTCGACGCTCAGACACCAGAATTTAGAGTCTGCCTGCCAAAACTGCGGGAGCCTGACAGTAGCAACGACAGGGTCGGGTACCGTGGGATTCGGCGTAGCGTCACTGTTAGGCGTGGTGTCCACGGTCAGCCCAAATGAACGGGGCCGAAGGCTGGAACCGTAGTCACTGAAAAACCTGAGCAGACGAGATGTACAGGAGGAGAGTTGCCGAAGAAGAGCAGCGGTCGTGGCGTCCAGCCAGCTAGAATTAGTGTTGGCAGTGAGTGACGCTTGGTGCGTTGACGAAAGGACGAGTAGGTGCACGTTGCCGCTGGAAGTCCGGGTCACCACATGTAGGAAGACGTGTGGCGTTTGGTTTCCTACATATTTTATTTATGCCTGATCTAGCATGGACGTCCAGACGCTGCCGTTCTTGCTGGCGTCTTCTTTTCTCGTGCTGCCTCAAACATGCGGAGCAGCTGCTGCACAACTTCGTCTTCTTCGAGACGCTGACGGCTTGCCATAAGGCCTTCTTCAGCGGCAGAAAACTTGCATTAGAAAGCGCGCACTCCCCTGCTTTCTCGCATACTGATCACGCCGATCGTTCCACGTTGATGTAAGTCATCTTGAAATAAATGCTTTGCGGTGACACGGTTTCTGTTTTGTTTAACAAAATTTACAACGAGCTTGAATTGCGCTGTATATATAATTACTGTAGCGCATTTCAAGGGGAACTGTAAAAACGTGTCGGCCAGATGGTGAAACCTAGACTTCCGAAATCGACCAAGCATACGTTGCAGCGCGGACGCAGAGAACGATTGGAAAGATTGGTGCGACAGGTCGTAGAGCTCGCATGCCTTCGATACAGCAGCATGTTCGTGCCGTGACGCGAGCGTGCATTCTCGCGACTGTAAAGATGGGGAAAAGAGATAGGCAAACGCTCCTGCAGTACCGGTGACCCGTCAACAGCTAGATTTGAGTGTTCGTGCATGGTGTTCTAGGGACCTTAGTTCGAGAGAAGTCCGCGGAAGAATGGAATGTGTGCTTGCAGCCCGTTTCACCGCGCTTGTCTGCTCGGTGAGGTGCGCACTCGACTGAAGCATTGGAAAGGCTCTTTGTGCGCGCGCCAGCAAGCTGGCTCGGGTGGGTCGGGGCATGCGAAATATGCGGGTGAATATTTTTTTTGCTAGCAAAGCTATCAAAATATCAGGGGTGCGCAAATTATGCCAGGGCGCAAATTATGCTAGTAAATACGATAAACAGTTTAGGAGTGCAGCATTTTATAGTGACTCTTTTCTGGCTTCCCGTAGGTTGCCAGAACCAGCCAGAGCGCGCTTGTGTTTCTCTGGCTGCTCAGTCTTCCCACGGCGCACTTCCGGTTGGCGTTCAATTTTCTCGGATTGGACGGTTCTGGCGACCCGTGGGGAGCCCGAACACTTGATGCCACTCGCTTACGAGTGGCGGCAAGTGTTTGAAGCTATTGTTCATCGCTTTTGCTATGTTTCCCGTGAAGCGTCCTCCCGTTAACAACGCTGTGAACTGTTGCCTGTCTACTGCGTCGTGCACATGCCTTAAAAGTTATGTACGTACTACACGTTCGTACGCACGCATGGAGACAACTTTGGAGTAAATTTAGTTTTTTGTTTTTTTGTAGTAGTCGTTTGTGGAGCTGTGCCTGCTTTCTGTGCACTTAGCGAAGACGATTGTAATGGAACTAGCTTGCTCCGTCGTATGTTTGTGTATGTGAACCTCTTAGAACCTCTGTCCTGACTACTAGTTTGATCTTCGATGATGATAGAAGGCCCTAGATGGGGACTGTTCGTGAAAACGGCGTGCGAACCCATTTCTATCTATGAGCCTGTATATGTCGTACGATATTATACGACACGGCACGAGAAAAAAAAAAAAATGAGAATGGATTCAGAAAATTCAGAAATGTATACATCCTTTCGTGGCCCATCGTTTGATTTGTCTTTTTCACCTCTTCGTAAATGCCGCGCAGTATGTATGTACTATGACCTAGTAGGTCGAATCAAAGCTGGTATACATGACATTCGTTAAGTGCCACTTAAAACTGGAAAACAGGCCAAGGCAAGTTCGAAAATGGGTCGCGAACGTGTCGTGCAAACGTTTATTTTATATGCGACGCGCACTCGTAGTACTGATACCTGTGCATATCATAAACTTTAGATAAAAACGTAAGTTGGTCAATGTGTGTTTGTGATGTATAATACGCGATAGCTGAGCAGGTATGTGTCCTCAAGCTCTTTTGGGAACACGATCACTTTCGCGTGACTTCGCGTCGTGTTGTGCAGTGACTGATACATGTAGTAAAGAGACGTGAGCTTGTTAAGTTGTCAGCGTCGCGACAGCTGGCTGTTTCGTTCACGGCGAGTAATCGTGCGAGCGTGCGAAGTCGTACCCCAAATGCTTTCGCTTGAGGATATCGTTTCAGCTTCTTGGCGAGCTTTGCTACGTATTTACAAAAGGACTATGCAGAAAAAAAAAAAACATACACGTGGTGCATTGTTTTGTTTGCTGCCATGACTGTAGAGTTTATTTACGTTTAAGCTGGCTGTCCCAGCGTTCAATTTCACGATCTTCGGGTTGTCTCGGGTTCCCCACACACGTGACACAACCCTGTTTCCTGTCCAGACCGGAACTAGCTGACTGACCCTCTGGCTATTCCTGGCTAGCTCTGGCTGCCTAAGAGCTGCCCGAGGCCTGAAAATCGAAGAGCCCCAGTGTTTTCGGTTTTAAAACGCGTGTCTCGAAGGCTATGCTTCTCTTTTTATTTTTTCGCGTCAACGCTGCTGAAATCATTGGTTGACAGCTACAAGAAGTTTGTTCGATTCACCTGCTCCAATCAAACCGGTTCACGACTATGCACGTGGAGTTCACAAATTGGACAGCACGAGTTCAGTGGTACAGGCATAGCGCAACACCTGAAACGAATGACGGCAAGGTGCAAGCCTTATTTCTTTTCGCTTAACTAGCACCGTTTGACGAACACTGACCGATGGCAAACCGCACATGCGGACAGTTTGAGGCACAAACTTCTTGGCAAAACATACCGCGTTAGTAGAGACGGGTACGGCACCTACACCTCAGCACTGCGTCGTCTGTTTGAGTGGCTGCACCAAAGAGGAGGAGGAATGAAAGAGGAAGGACGGGGAGGTTAGCCAGTTCTCAGACCGGCTGGCTACCCTGTATAACAAGCTGGCACCATAGCGTAAGAGGTGCAGGAAAATCGCGAACCAGTGCTGCACCTCTTCTGCACCTTTGGAAACGAATGCAAGGGTGCAGAGGTCATCAATGCTACACCGCTAAAACTAATGGCAAGGTGCAGTACCTCGTGAACTAGTTCATGTGGTGCAGGCTAATGGAACGGGCCTAAAGCCACAATGACATCGATATTGCCAACATGTTGATGGTGGGAACTCGGATGAACTCTGTGTTGTGTCTTTTGCGCCTTGTGGTCTTGAGTACTTCTCGCCTCGTTTTTGATAAACCCTCATTCTGGAGTTGAACTGAATGTTGACCCACACGTAACGATAAAAATTGACTGGCGCTTGGTGTGACACCAAGTAAAACACTTGTCGTAAACGTTCCTTGCGGGCCAGGTGACGACTTCGAGCGTATCATGACTGCTGACAGCAGCATACGGTGCCTCAGTGAATTCTGTGACTTTTCAGCGTTTCCGGGCACCATCCAGGAGAGGGAGCGACTTCATCGGAACAGATGACAACCTAGCTGTTTCTGACTGCATCATCAATGCTGAGATTTTGGCTGCTGGTGTCGCGGAAGTGTAGCTGTGCTGTTGAGAATGTGCCAACGCCTTCACTGGCGCCACTAACCAACTTTTTGCCGCACTACAAAGCTTGCATCGGCGTTCTGCATTAATCATCATTGTGGCTGAAAGAGCTAAGTTCGCTTATTTGAAAAGCTTCATTGATATTCAGGATTACTGCAACTTGACAGCATGCAAAAAGCAAGTCATGTTTACGAACTATTTTCATGCGAAATAAAGTGTGGTGACTTGGAGTTGCACCTTGTTTTTCATTATACTGTGAGTGATTCGTTACATTAGCTATTGTAACGATTTATGAAGCCTGAAATGCTTCAATTTAAGCCTTAAATAGGCCTATTTTCCATTTCGAATTCTCGATATATCGAACTATTTTGCAATCCCCTTCAACTTCGATATATCCGGGATAATTGACTGTATATATATTCAAATCAGATTTCAAGTTATTCAAACCAATCTCTGTTTGTTCAAATTTCTCTTTAGCCCTTTTCCACCACCCCAGTATTAAAAGTGACCGCTCATGGTGCTCAGTGTGACTACTGTGGTAACTGCCCATATGCAGTTCAAGGACATCAACCGGGCCCACTCCATCCTAGTGGACCTGACCAAGCGCAACATCTACGACAATTATGGCTCCCTGGGCCTGTACGTAGCAGAGCAGTTTGGCGAGGAGAATGTCAACACCTACTTTGTGCTCACCAGCGGATGGTGCAAGGTGGGTTTCAATGAAATATGCAGTGCTAAAAAGGAAAAACCCCGACCACAGTAAAAACTAAAATGGACATGATGTAAAACAAATGACACACAGGAATGACTGGCCATGTAATGGATTGGTACTACACTAGCATCATTGTTGTCTTCTTGTCCTTATCTCGGATTATTAACAATTACCTATAAGTACACTAGAGGAAATTATTGCACTAGTGTCTATGGGAGCTGCAACGCACGGCACATCAGACAGCATGGGAATCATGGGTTGTACACGGATTTGTCTAAGTTGATTTCTTTTGGCTCCGTTTGTAATGAATTGTCTTTGCTGTAAGAACAAGTGCAGCGAAGATGCTGTGGTTATGCTTCCCCACCCTGACCGCTTTACGCTCGCCAATTCAAATTAGATTGCAAAGTTCACAGTTGTCCATTGTTTTATTCAAAACAAAACCAAAACACAATAAACAAAGCCACCAGTGCATTCGAAGCCCGCAAGCACGATGACCATGTAGAGTCAACTCTCGCTGACGCGAAGTTCACGGGAACCGCAAAAAAATCATCGCACTTCAAATTAAATGAACTTCTAGTGAAGCAAAATGAACACAAAACTGTCCTTGTATTGCTTCAAACCTGACAGTTCTCTGCAAAAATTGTCATCTTTGTTTTCCAAGCACTGCACATGCCGAAGTGCTTCTTCAGCATTGTATTCTTCAACAAAGCATGAAAACCACAGTGTAAGAGCAAGACCTACAGCAGCATCGCTAGTTCTCGGTGGCAGTTCGTTTCTATGTTGTCGTCCACTAGCCGAATCATCTGCACAATTCATCTGTTTGTTAGTGGACTGCATGTATCAACTTTGCTGGCCACGGCAACGACTTTTTAAAACCAATATCACTAAGAAAGGCTACAAAGCTACAGTCATAGAGTTCATCTGTTTGCACTTGACGAAATTCAAGAGCGAGTTGGGTGGTGTCTCCCTGGTCAATTTCTTCCAAGATTTTCTACTTTCGTCGCCAGATCAAGCGTTCGGTAGGGGCCGCAAGTTGCCATTATCAGAAGTCGCCACCACAACACTCAAAATCAGCTGTGGAAACACGTGTGGAATCAACCCACAGTGCGTTGACGGGCTAGTGGGTTTATCATGCTATGTTTGAACAGTGCAACTGCATGCTTACACTCAAACACACGCACAAAGCTGTATGCGTGGTTGAGCGTTCTTTTCCACCAGCTTTCAGCCATGCTGTTCTAACTTCAACCAGACTTCAACCCAGCGCATGGCTGAAGCACCAGACACATCACAACGCAAGATCTAGTTAGCTGATGTGATGCTCGGCAATCTGCAATTAAAACTGTGTGCATTGCAAGTAAAATTGGTGTTCAAAACAAATAGGAGGACAAGTTATAGAACAATGAATATTTGTCAGTGAGTTGAATTCAAGCTGGGATTTCACTCGTGAATGTTCAACACACCTTTACTTATGTTAAAATTGGTTTGGAGTATGAATTTTTATTACACTGCACGAAGTTCTAATTCAAAATTATTGTGATATGCTGATTTGCCTTGTTACTAGTTTAGAAAAAAGCTTGCTCCTAGAAAAGCATAAGGAATGTTTTGTACCACACAACTACACAACATGCTAGAAAAATAACTGCATATTGAAAGTGGCACACGAATGTGAATTTATGGTTTCATTAAAATCAACTGAAAAAATTTTTTTTTTTTTTCAGGTGCCATACCTTTCTGAAGTACATATGGTAAAAGCTGCGCCCTTAGAGCTAATGTTTCAACAGATGGACGTCATTTTGACAAAGAAAAGTCCACTTGTCAAAATGTTGGCTTCATTGCGGTTTTCTCTCTGAAATGTCATCTCTACATGCAGTAGGTCATAAAAACAGAGTAATTGAATTAGTGATGATTATCAACTAAAAGTGTAGTTGGATCAGCTATGATTGGCAATTCTGGCATGTGCACGTTTTACTCATTCACTGTGCCGTAAGTACTAAGAGGTCTTTATTGGGCTTACTATTGCGATTGCCATTTAAGTAGAGTGTGTGTGTGCTGCCACCAATACAGCTTATATAGATGGCAAAGGCCCGGTTTAAGATCATAGTCTTATACCTGTGTCACGTGGGCATTTGGAAGGCCACCCAACCTATAGACTGAATGGTCAAGCCCGCGCTTGACCATTTACAGTGCTTTCAAAGGCCCTCAATTCGATAGTTCGAGTCAATAGAAACCCCACAACTTCATTGAAACATCAAAGCAAAAACAGTGCACTTGTACACACAATTGGAAACTAGTCTGCTTTTAAAGCAGTATTGCAAGTGTTGTGACTGACTTAATACAGTATTTCTTTCGTCTCTCAACAACATCCTCATCGTGCAGTCTCACCGCGATTGCTCACCACAGTTGTGCTGCGCAACAGCTGCAGAGCTAAATATGCGATAAAGTATTGATTGAAATTGTACGACACGTTTGAGCTTTTAAGTGAACTTGCACTATTTTAATTTAGGTGATACCAACATAAAGATCCACAGCGACGCAGAATTTTCGCATGAAATGCCTGCGCCACTAAGCGGCCATTCTTCAAAACTGCCATGTAGCTGCGTGACAATTTGGGTGCATGTTCAAGAACCCCAGGTGGTTTAAATTTCCGGAGCCCTCTATTACGGCGTTTCTCATTATCATATGGTGGTTTTGGGGCGTTAAACCCCACATATATATATCATTAGCTGCATGACACCACCAAGTCAATAGAGTTGAGGCGTTTCATGGCCTTTGAAAAAGGCCTGTGTGATACAGGTATTAGAAAATGGCCCCACTGTGCGCCAGCCGACATGGTGCATTGTCCACTCAATTCATAAACATGGTACTCTCCCAGTGTGGAGCATTTATTGGTGGTCGAAGGTGCAGAAGGGAGTTGCGACATACATAAAATTTTATCGCTGTATTAAGAGGGATTTAGAGTCTTAAAATAGTGAAAACCACAAAAAATGTCACTCTTATGCACTCGTAATTTGAAGTATTGATGGTTTAAATTATGCTCTGGAAGAGTGTTACTTAATAAAACAATAGTCCCTCTTTTAATCTTTTTTTACAAGCCCGAGAGATTAAGTTACAGATGCTATTCGTACCGGAAACGCAATTTCGCCAAATTCGTTCTTTTTTTGTAATGTGAATCTGTCTGATAGAAGTTTTCAGGAAATTTATGGGAACGTAGTCAAAACCAAACTTGGTATAATCTCTCCAACATCACCTGAACTACAGCCTAAACCATTACTTTTCTTTTCTTTTTTTCAAGCTTTATAGAATTGTAATTATATGATAGCTACTAGTAAATTACTGTAAGCAAATTTATGAAAACTATTTCTGGTCAAAGAAATAACTGTTTTGTCATCTAATATGCTTTAGCCTGTGTGGTAGGCTTTTTAAAAGAACCACATAGTTTCAAAAAAAAAATAGCTTCATATTTTATAAGTTATTATAAAAACCAATAAAAAAGTTACCAATTTGCAGTGTGAAAATTTGTCATTACTTCCTCTTTAAATAAGATGCTTGAATTCTGTTTGCAAACTTGAAATCTACATTCAATGGTGCACATGCATACCAATTTTCATTAGGGAATAAACTTTTTTTCGAGACTCTCATCCCCACTTCAAAGGAAAGCCCTGCAACACTTTTTGAGCATGGTCAGAAAACGCTGCCGATATTACAGCGCAGCACGTGGCCTGGTATTCACAATAAGTTCTCAGTCAGCTAAAAATTGCTTTTTCTTTTGTCCACAAATTACGGAAGACGCTCAAAAGTCGCTCGTAGAAGGCCTATCATCCATTGGCTGATTTGTACGTGGCGCGCTCAGTCATTGCAAGGATCGACGCGGGAGGCTGCAACTTGTCCATGCGTGCGCGCACAATCACACTGAAAAAGCCACTTATTTGAAGAAAAAGAAAAAAGCGCCCCAGGTCATGAAGCATGGGCGACGTATTTTCTTTGCCTTTTCCATCCCTCCTTGCTTAGCCTACAGCACTTTCGTCGGGGCGTGAGAAGAGAGAATGCGATTGCAACGTGCGGCACATCTTTGTAACTCTGCTCGTACTGGAAGGATTCTTGAAATTTTTGCGGCATTTAAATTGTGAGGCAATACACTCTTTTACCTGAAAAGGTGTTTCAGGGCCCTTTTAAAGCTTTCTGCAAAAGGCCAAATTGAACATGTTGTGACCTTGTAAGCAATGCTTTGATGTCTGTGCAGGCACTGTTTGTGTTTTGTGGGCTGATAACGGGATGCTACCTGTGCTGCTGCTTCTGCTGCTGCTGCAACTTCTGCTGTGGCAAGTGTCGGCCCAAGCCACCCGAAGAAGCTGGCGACTATGCCAATCTGCATGTGAGTAATGCAACAACACACTACTAAATTCATTTGATATCAAGATTGCAGGGTTTAAAATCTTTACTTGTTCGTTTTGGTTGCCGATCCGATCTCGAGTCATTAGGCTAAATATTCAAGCACTTAAAATATTATAACCAATATTACACTATTTAAATTCACCTCGATTCAAATGTAGATAATGCAAAATTTATAAAACGCATGTAACTCTTTTTGTAAAGGTGGCCTCACTGTTGTAGAGGGGTGCTGTACCATGAACGCACCTCTCCTGGGAAAATCCATACTGCCGCAAAGCCCCACTTTGAGGTTAAATTATCATATTACCCTCGCATCAATTTGTCTGTTTGCTTAAAAGCTTGTTATACCAGCTTATATGGCTCAAGTATTCTAAACTGTAGAACGTAACATATTTTACATCTTATCAGTTGCGTTCTAGTTAAAACCAAATTCTGCTACACTTCAAAGTAGTTTTCACTTACTTTCAACCAAAAAGAATTACATTTGCACATGCCTTTTTTCAATAAAAAAATGCGTATACTGTGCATGTTAGTTAGGTTATTCCAAATATGCTAATCTTTCTTTACAATATGTGACATATGCTATTCGAATTAACTTCGAACCTAAACATTACTATTCATACGAGCCCATGAAGTGGCCTTTTGTAATGATCCCAGAATATTTTTTGCCATAGGCAATCGCGTAGTACCTAATGCACTGTACTCAAGCATTGTGCATTCTGCCTCACACACTGGTTGGTTTACTCAATAATTGAACCCACAACTTTTTCTTAACAGCATGAAATGACATGCCTAAACCTTCCATTCTGTATAAAATATTTTTTCATTCATATGTGATATAGCATGAATTTAACAAGAGAACCAGAATCTGGTGATGCATATCTTTAAGAAAGCTAAATTTGTGCAGTTGATAACATCATCTTAAGGTCGTAGCACTCTAACGCTCTCTGTATGTGGGTTGAAAACAGCAATATTTTTATAGCACATAGAAGATGGGGACTTTTTTGCTGGCTTCAAATGTACAGGGTGTGTCGTGTCTCAACGAAATCACCGACATGTTTTGGCATGCAGTGGCACTCATAAAGATGTATATGTAATGTGCTTAATTAGTCCATTAGCTAAGGCCAATTGGGCACAATATGTAATATTCACTTTATGGCCAAGTTCGTCTCATCACATGTGGCCAAGTGCGTCTCCTCCCCTGGTATTTGACTTATCGCAGCGCCAGAGTTCCCTCTAGTAAACGTTAACTCTCTGGGTCTGCACTGTGTGGCTCACTTGCAGCATGCCTGCTGCTTTTTTGGCAGCTCCAGAAACCATTCCAAGTTCAGCATAAGCACAGCGGTGCTTGTACATGCAAATGTTGAAAATGCTCAGAAGTGTGCCACTAACAGTAGAGCCATTGCGATTGCCTACAACCCTGTTGTGATCAGTGAATCGTTATCTGCTCAGCAGCGTGAGTGCACAATTGAAGTGTGAAGTGCATGCTGATTGCTGGAATAAGTGCTGTCACTGCATTCAACTAATGAAATACCGTCGATCGCGGATATATCTAACTCAAATGGGATCGTGAAGTACTAGTTCGATATATCAATAAATTTAAATACAGAATTTGCATATTTAAGGCCAAAATTGAGGCACTTAAGGTCTCGGAAAATTGTTACAAGTGCTAACACAACGATTAACTCTCGGTAAGAACAAGGTGCTAACGGCAAGTTACCGCACTTTATTTCGCATGAAAACAGTTCGCAATTTTGTCTTGCCTCATGCGTGCTGTCAAGTTCTAGTCATCCTCATTTTCATTGAACCTTTCAAATAAGCGAATTCAGCTCCTTCGGCTTCAACAATGTTGATTGAGGCAAAACGCTGATGCAAGCTTTGTAGCGCGGCAAAAGGTTGGTTGGCGGCGGCAGGGATGGCGTTAGCATATTCACAACCACACAAATACACTTTCGCAGCACCACACAGGATAGCCGTAACCTCACTATCGGTGTAGTCAGAAACAGCTCAGTCATCTGCACCCATAAGTTGCTCATTGTCCAAGATCGTGGCTGGAAGCGCTGATAAGTCGCAGAATTCACCGAGGCACTGTACGCCAGCGGTCATGACGCACCTGAAGTCGCCACCTGGCTCGAAGGAACGTTTACGACGGTGCTTTACGTGACATTGCTTCGAGCACCAGTCATAATTTTTATCTCTGCATGAGGGTCATTGTTCAGTTCAACTCCCGAATGAGGATTTGTCAGGAACGAGGCGAGAAATTCACAAGTCCAGAAAGCGCAAAAGGCAACGTCGAGTTTCCACAGTTGACATGCTGGTGACAGCGATATCACTTATGCTTTTGTACCTGGCAGCCGCTGCTTTCCGCTGCTTTGATGCCAAAAAGCTAGAAAAAGCGTAGCCTCCGAGACGTGTGTTTTAAAACCCAAGACGCCAAAAATGCACGACGAATAAGGACGATTACATAAAAGCTCCGAAACGTCACTCCAGCAGAACTAACGAGAAATGTATGCGCCGATTCCTGTTGCATTATAACACGTTCAAGTATTCTTTTTTTCCTGTAGATGTGGGTGACATCATCAGTGCTCAATCACTTGAAGCATTTTCATCGCTGCTGGAAATTCGTTTATAGGCATTGCAATAGGTTCTGCTATATCTGTGCGCAAGTAAAGGCAGAAACGATGTATCACGCATGTACTCACACATTGCGTCACGTGCTTAACAGCCTGCATCTGTGTGTCAATTATGTTACTGTTTGATGTTATAATGCTAACCAGTTTTTTTGTTCCAGTGAAACACATATGTATTGTTCATTTATTGTGTTTATGTTGTTATATCCTGGTTGTGGCTGCTGTGTATTGTAAATTTTTCCTTTCTTTTTCGTCTCCGCAATATTAAGTCTTACTTGCTTTGTATGCCCTCTTTTGTATAGGCCTGAAAGGTCCGCAGTATTGCATAAATAATTAAATAAATAAAACGAGGTTGCACATCACGAAGGCCATGCTTTTCAGGCTAGTGTGCTATTGTGCGCTAACAAGCAAAGAAGGGAATGCGAACATTGCAACAAGATCGCCGAATCACTTTGCATTCTCATTTTGGTGTCATCAGCAATCGGTTTTTGTGAAAAACACTATGTCCGCGTGTTAAGACCTGTAGATTGTGCATTAAACATACCGGTGCACTCACAACTGCCGTACAATGAACCAAATCAGCGCGATGGAATACCACCTTTTCATCACCTGCACACTCAAAGGGACCAGAACTTGTCGGTACGCGGCCGAAAGTTTACCAGTATTTGTTTTGAAAATTGCATTTTCTCGCCTTCGGCATAGCGCAGCGTTTGATACAGCGGATGTCCCGCTGTGCGGGAGTTTGATATATGGTTTCACCGATCCCATACTTTTGCATGGGAAGTTCAAGGGGATTTCTCAACTGTTTGTTATAGCCAATAATTCGTTATAGCCGGGTTTGATATAACCAGTATCAGAATAAGAGCAGGTACTACGTGTCCTTGCAGTGACTGTGGTGTGCAGGCAAGGTGCTACATGCCAATAGCTGGCTGATAAGCAACTCCATACTTTCAGTGAAAATTCACCTGTTTTTACTCAATAAAATATGCTTACACAGTTGTACAAGGATGTCCATCTAGTCCGTGTCCACGATCGTGGACACGGACTAGATGAACAACGCCACATGAACACAGAGCCAAATGAGTGCTACTGGTGCTTGTATGTTTCTGTGTGTTCATCCATAGCTTTTTGCATTACTTTATAATCATGAATAACCAACTAGCCTGATTAAGCACTATTGAGAGCTACACTTTTTATTTCCTGGGTAAATTGGGACAGGCCTTGCAGTATTTAGTAATTTGAGGCATGGCTGTGGCCGCGCGTTTTCTGTAGGCATGCCTAATTCTACTCCTTGGACAAGGAACTGTCATGTAATAGCCAATAAAGCTCCATCAATTCAACTATAATTAGCCAGTAATTCACTTCAGTTAGTCACTGTCAATCCTTTGGTAGAAAAATCCAGAGAATGTAGCACTCTCAAAGAATGTGCACCCGCCGCTGTGGTCTAATGCTTACGGTACTTGGCGGCTGACTCAAAGGTCGTGGGAACGCATCCCGGCTGTGGTGACTGCATTTACAATGTAAACGAAAAAGCTCAAGGCCAGTGTAGTTAAATTCAAGTGGACATTAAAGAACCCCAGGTGGTCAAAATTTCTCGAGCTGTCTGCCATAATCATTTTGTGGTTTCGGTGGTGTAAAGCCGGTTAGTTATTATTATCAAAGAATGTTCCCTGGGGAAGGATCTTGTGAGAATGTGCATAATGTAATTTGGCCCAGTCACCCCTAAATGTGTGCCCGCTGTGCAGCAGCCACCTTTGGTTTTTTTTGCTCTTTCAACCTTGCATGTGTGGTGCGTGATGTTCCTGACATGTGGCCCTTGTCCTGCATGTGTTGTGGGCCCAGGACGGAAACACGGAAGGAGTCAGAGGCCCCAAGGTGAGACCGCAGGCAAAAGCTGCTATGATTTGCCCCCCCATAAAGTGGTGACTTCCGTTGACTGTGTTCTGCTGCACAGCGTGGCACATTTTGGTATAGCCACTTTCACTGTATCAATGCGCTCTTGTAGACACAGAATGGCTTGTGCTAAAGTGCTTATTTGGGCCGGCTGGAACATGTACAAACGGGAAACAGTGGAAAACACCAGAGCACTGTGCTTGCAGAGTGCTGTACTCGCAGTAAAAAAACAAGAGCTCTACTTGCAGGGAAATTTTTTTGTACCGCGCACAAAAAAAAAAAAAAAACGGTCATACAGAAAGAAGGTACAACTGTGCGCTCGTACTTTTTTTCTGTGTGTCCGCATCTTTTGTACGTGCTACAAAAGCGTTGAAACATGCCAACTCGTCCAGCTGTCTTTTATAGTGTAACTTGCAACCAAAGCTTTATCCATACGAAGGGAGTATATCCCCTTCAGGCCCGAATTGATGCACTGTGCTCAAGTGCATCAAGTTCGCATAGCATGAGGCACTCAGTATTACATTCCAAGAAAGAAAAAAAACATAAAAGAATGTGTTGTTTTGTCCAAGTTTTAGTAATTGTTAATTATCATGTATTCGGCGGTGAGACAGCTGGGCATATTGCACATTTTTTATAAGTTTTCGTTTTTTTGCTCCAAGCTGCTCCAAAAGTGTAAAAATCACAAAAATTGTGCTGAACTGCTCCAAAACAGCCTCAAAAGCTAGAATTTTAACGCCAACCTCAGCTTCAATGGGGAAAAAGGCAGAGTTGACTAATAAGACGGGCCCAATCGCTTTTTTTTTTTCACTTTTTTTTGGTGACAAAGGCTCCCATGGTGCTGCCATAATCTCCTCTAAACTGTTGTAAATATATGTGACCCCGCAAAAATGTGCTGCCGTGCATCGAGCGTGCTGCTTCTACTAGCCAGGTTGTGTGTTCTGGTGCCACTGTCGCCTTGTGAAAACCACAGTCATGTGGCTAGTGTAGCGGGGTTGACTCTCTGGTTCTTCATTGTGCATAGCGCGTTCCTCCAGTCGCTAAGGTTTTCATGTTGATGCTGCCGCGTGCGATCACACCTACGTGTTCGCGTTTGCCATGAGCGAGTAACTGTAAACGTGGAGTAATTTCCCTGAAAGTGCTGCTTCTCTTGAATGCTCTTGCGCAAGCACATGGGTTTTCAAAATGGGTTCTATGAGCGACAGAACGTATGCAGCCTATTCCCGGTTTGTGCCCATTATCTACTAACTTATTTAGACAAGTAAGTTTTCATTGCATTTTGCATTTAAAAAAGCCATGACATGCAAAATCTGCGCATCAGTGTCTGAAGGTAGAAGGAAACATAATTTTTTAGCGAATTGGTAGCACTGGAAGAACACACTCACAAAACAAAGGAAGCAAGAGCGCTCGCGCTCCTGCTGTGTGCCTTTTTTTTTGCTTCGTGTGTGTGTTCCTCCCGCGCTCCCAGTTCACTGAACAATTATGAGTTACTTACTAGCCCACTTTTCCATCCTGTTAGAAACATTTGGTTATTTGCGAAGCCGTGAGCACAAAACGCGCATTTAAACCATTTTAAATGATATGAATGGGCACCTCAGCGCTTTATTTGTTACTCATGACGCGTCAGCGATCGCGTGGCACAGTTATCATGAATGGTGATTTGCCTTTTGTAATCTAAGCTACGATTCATTTGGGTGGACACGATTTTTTATCTGCACTGCGCGAGCGCTTTATGCGAGTTTCGGAGTGGCAATCGCAAGTCGATGTATTCTCGGGAGTTCTACATCGACAGTGATGGCGTACAATAAAAACAAAAAAATTGGATTGGTCAACGTGTGCTGTATTAATAAGGCGTAGTTGCTCCTGTGGAGAGGCGTTATCAGTATCATTCGCTTATCACTTGGTGCCCTACACGCGCGCTTTACAGGATAATCAGTGTGGCAAGGTTTCTTGGCTACCGCGCCGCAATCTTGAAGGTGGTCTTGCACGAGGTGGCCGCGAACAGCGGTGCAGCGCTTTTGTTGTCTGTTAAATGCTCTTGATGCTATCATGTCAAGCCTTTCTTTAAGTGAAGGACTACTTCACTTGAAGAAAGTGACTGTTGCGTAACTAAGATTCTTGTGCATTTACAATTTTTGAATGTCTTTTTAAGTGTGATGCGTTTCTTTTTTTCTTTTTGAAGGTTTCCGGAGAACCTACAGTTTTCAAAAAAAAACTTTTTTTTTTATTAAATATTATATCACATGTTTGTTACGAGGGCCAGATAGGTCATGTGGGGTATGTAAAAAAGTAGTGCAGTTCATACCTGGTGATAATCTGGTTACAAACTTCCTTTAAAATCTGTTTCAATGTTATGTGTATTATAAACCAATTAAAATATGCACTGGTGTCCCCACGTTGCTAAAAATTTGCATTTTCAAGCTTTCAGGATGATATATTAAATGCTGCTAACTGCTTCCAAGCAAGATTCTTCTGCTCCGAAATTCAACTTTTGCTGCTCCAAAAAATGCTTCCAAATTAGTCTCGACTGCCTCACCCCTATGTACCGTATTTACTCGCATAATCCTCGCACTCGCATAATTCTCGCACCCCACACATCGCCCAAAAAAACTACGAAAAAATTTTTTCCTCGAGTAATTATCGCACCCCGAAAACTGCCGCAATAATGTCGTCTGCTCGTTCCAGCCACTGATGATGATAGCGCACCCTATTTGGCGCCATCTCTTAAGTGTCAAGCGTACTATTGCACGGTGATTCAATCCTATCCAAGCCAAGCCAAAGTGGCCAGTGCGCGTTGCGGCGTGTTTTGTATGTTGCGTTGGTTATCTTGAAACGTTGTGGGGCGATACTGAAGCCACACGGCTGCTTCAAGTTGCAAGTGATAGATCGTACGCTAAACAACGGCAACAAGGCCGCCGGTAGGCCCTTCGGAGCCTACGAGTTTTGTGTTCGCTACTGGTGACGGCAGCTGAAAGCCACCAAAACGCGTTGGGCCTGCCCTGTGCCTAAAACTGGGATTGATGGTAAACTTTATTTCTTCAGAAGGAAACTGCGGACGATTCTGTTAAATAGCCATCAGCCCAATACTGACGCCCTACGCTTACCTTTTGAGGGCTCCTGTTGAGCGCCGACCGCTACCGCTACGCCCGCAACGCCCACAAGCTTCGCGTATGGTATTCTAATGCTTGACTATTTGCTTCCACTTTTTATGTCTCAAATAAATCTTGCCTTGTGTGGAACCTCTGCTTTTATTGTTGAGGTAAGTTCTAATTAGTACTTTGTAAAGCGTGCTGTAAGTTGCTGGTGTGAGAATCCCGATTTGCGACCACTTCGTTTTTTTTTCGCTCTCTGCGTTTTCGTGGAAAGTTTTCCCCGCGTAATTCTCACACCCCCCAACTATGCATCAAGTTTCCGGCAAAAAATGTGCGAGGATTATGCGAGTAAATACGGTAATTAATGTTACAACTCTATCAGTCGTCTCCAATTGTTGCATGAAAAAAATCAAATATCAACTTTGGGTTTGATGTGTTCCTGAAAAAAATCGCATATCAACCCCAAAACCCGTGTACGGTTTGGTTTTTGGTTGTATTCATTTTAAGCAAAGAAAAAAGTATATACTCTAGGCATTAATCCTGGACATGGGAGCTTGAATCGTTCCCACCCTTTCCACCACCTTGCATGTTCACTGCATGCCTAGAGAAATGTAAATGACTTAACTGGAAAGAAATGGCAGCAAAAACCAACAGAGAATATCTCTGATAAGTGAGACAGGAAGATAGCAGAGTGGGTCAGGGAACAGCAGATGTTAAGGACATCACATGGGCCAGCACATGGGCAGGATAACTGTTGGTCGTTAGGGGTTACTGACTGGATTCCAAGAGAAGCGCAAGAATGAGGCAGAACGCAGCAGTTTGTGGGTACAATGTGGCAGCAGCAGCACATGACCTTGGCCCTGCAGTGGACTGATGATGAGGATCTCCTCAATTGTGGATTGGCAGATGACATTGTGCTTTTCAGTAACATTGGCGATGAACTGTGAGACGAGACGTGGTTGAAAGAAAACCAAGCCAAAAAGTATTGATGTGTGCCTGAAAATGAATATGCTAAAGTATTGGTTTGTAGCCTTTGGAAAGAGAAGCATTGTGCATAATTTGGCCGTTTGCTAGCTGATTCACAAAAACATGATTCACCAAAGCACGGCAGGCAATTCGCTGCTATCCATAAAGTTAAATGTTTGCAACCTTTGCGTGCTACCATTTTCTTCCCCTGAAGTTTGGAATTATTGTGCACCTCAAGTACAATATTCTGTGGCAGTTCATTCATTAAAGGTGTATTTTTGTTCTTTCAGACTGTAGTTTTTCTTTCAGAATCCCAGAAGATTAACTTGGGCATAATATGTACCAATATGGAATATTCAATAGCATTGTCAATTATGGTAACCTCCAAGTGCGAAGGACACCACAAAAAAAATTTATGCCATACTGTGCCTCACATCAGACCATATACAGTACTGAGATTTAAACACGGCGGTTTATATTTATATATGAAATCAGTCAGTCTGAAACATATTCGGCTGAGGACTGGCCTTTATCAAGATACGATCGATATATTTAGTTTGGGTTTAAATACGAATTCCCACGATACGTACACAGATACACACACGGTCTGTGAAAGGGACCAGAACAGCAGCAGCAGCAAAAAGTTCAGGGGGAGAGGGAGAGACATGCGTACAGTCGAAATTTGTTCAAACTTTACACGAGGTGGGGCCAGTACATGCAATATATTACTAACAAATAAAAGGGGAAATCAGATGGGGCTGCGTGTGCGATTTGAGAGTGTAAAAGAGAAAAAGGCACAATACGAAGACTAACAAGTAACAATGGACACGCACACACGTCGCCCCACCTCTTATAAAGTCTCTGTAAGCTGTTCTTGTCATGCCTCCCCCTTGTGTCGTTCCAACAACGGTGTGTGTATGTGTATTGGGGCTGAAACAGCTGAGCCATGGTGTGCCTAACTGGTTTACATATGCCATCCCACTGCTTTGTCCACTCGTCGCCATTCACTTCGTGAATATGCTGCGATTTTTTTATTATCAATATTAAGGTGGTTGTTTATATGGTGATGTAATGCAAATGAGTTCTGCATGGACCCGTAAGGTGGCGGAAGGTTGAAGAAAGGGAAAATAGACAACCACTTGTTCGTGGAACGAAGCCACAAGGAAATCCACTCGGATTTTTCGGAATGAAAAGCTTTTTAGTTGCCAAAAATTCGTCCTGGTTCGAGATTTATATGGCGAGATGTTGTATGTCACAAATTAAGGCAAGCCTAGTTTTTTAAAAATTAAAAATAACCCGCCATGGTGGTGTTGTGGCGAAGGCACTTGGCTGCTAACCCGCAAGTTGTGGGATCAAATCTTGGCTGCGGCGACCCCTTTTTCGATGGAGGCGGAAATGCTTGAGGCCCGTGTGCTTGAATTGAGGTGCACGTAAAAGAACTTCAGGTGGTCAAAATTTCTGGAGCCCTCCACAACGGCGTCTATGATAATCACAGAATGGTTTTGGGACATTAAACCCCAACAAATATTATTATTATTAAGGAAGAAATGTCACGCATAGTTTCGGAGATCTATTGTCGCAGTTTCAGGCTGCAAGGCCGGAGAAACCGAAACTGAACACACCAGGTGCCCCTGAAGGGCAGTCCTTGTGCTGCCCTGTTGATGGGGTTTTTTCACCATCTGGTCATGTGGTGCAGGTCGTATGACATAAACTTTATGTGATGCTCCCCACTTTTTCGCACACTTTTCATCAACAATATCGCTATCTCAACTTCAACATTGATACATACGATGCCAAAGTTGGTCTTCTGAAGGCCCTCAACGATTTGGTCGACTTGTGTAGTCCAGGTGCAGGACCACTTGTTCCAGGTCACACCACACGTGGTCAGTCAGAGCGAGCACAGCCTGTGTCAGTGTCACAATATTGGCATGTTCTGTCCTGGAGGAGCACAGCAGTGAATAAATTATGCCCAAGCATCTTTTGAGGGTCCTGAGCCACCTGTGGTCCAGGTGGTAACACCACACGTGCTCTGTGAGTTCAGCCTCTGCCACTTCATTGTGGCGTCATGATTCTGGCACATTTGTCCCCAGGAGGAGTACAGCAGTGAAGAAGGCCAGAGCCCAGTGACCACGCAGCCGGGCTCCACAGGCAAGGTGGACGCCGCACCCCTGGCCATGCCTCCTCCACCCTCTGCTGCCGGCGCCAACCTGAGTGAGACAACCAACCTGAGTGCAAGCCAGCATCACACGTACATGACGCAAGATGTTGCAGCGATGCCCACCAGCAACCTACAGTAGGAAAGCAAACTCCCCACCCCTCCCACCTTAGTCCGTTGTTTGTGAGAACACCTTCCCCGTGTGGTGTGCACATTTATCGACTGTCTTATAGAGCCTGCGTGTTATTGCATGGGGCAGAGCTCATCGACACTATTGTGCATGGTATCCCCATTTGTTGTTTGTACAATCAGCTTGCCTCTTTTTTTTTTCGCTTTCGATTTAATTGTGTAATGATTTTTACAGTTCTGATCACACTTGTTATTGCAGTTGCCCAGTTTCTGCTTTCTGTGCGACATGCCTTCTCTTGTAATGTTCAACTTGAGCCATGAATATGATTGCACTGTAGGGAGTTTTACAATAGTGTATGCTAAGTGTATATCCAATATTTCCATAACTTTTAACAGGAGCCCGCAAGAGGCTAGCGCACTATGTGTGTGCTATGGCACAAAACACTAAGGTAAAGCTTGTGTACACTATTCTAAATCTGCCTATATATACTGAACTGTAAAAATGCGGACTTCTTTACAGCATATCTATATGGAGGCTGAATATGAGTGTAAATTTCAGAGCAGTTGTCTTTCTTCGCCTTGTTGTATACCAGCATTCCCGTGGCACTGACATGTGTGCATTTTCAATAGGCTGCATGTCAAGTCGTCCTTCAGGGGAATTTGGGAGCTGCGTAGTAGCACCCCATGTAGTCTGTGTACATTGCAAATAAGGTGTGTTGGGTTGGCTAGCCTTTGGGTTCATAGATTTACTTTACAAAGGCACTACTAACCTTTGCTGCATGTGTCGATTCTGATAGTGGTTGCTTGCGCCACAGTAAAAGATGCGTAAGGTGCAGACACTTGTGGCACATGATTCACCAAAGTGCGCACTTGTATCTGGTTGTGGCCGTCAAGATCTGTCCGCGGGACTACAAGAGTTCAAGACGAAATTTGGTCCTTTGCTGCATGTGTTATGCCTGATGGTGGTTTCTTTGCAACACAGTGTAAGATACGTATACTCTTTAGGTGCGGACGCTTCCAACTCGTGATCTACCTGATAGAGCTGCGTAACCGTCATCCAGTGATGACTGCGAAGATCTATCAGGAGCACAATGCAGCTTGAAGACAAAATGTGTTTTTTGCAAACAGAAAACACAGTGCTTGGCAAGCGCTGGCACTGCCGCCAGCCATGCCATTTGCTATAGTAATGCTACATAAACTTCTGTCAATACATTGCTACTTTATCTGTTGAACACTGCTCACAATAAAGCGGCAGTGTCCCCACCTAAAGAGTGTATAGCCAGGGCAAGCTAGTCAGTCTGCACTTGCACAACCCGCATGTTGCGGCTGCGCATTCCATTCAACGTGTTCAGCTTAGTTTTGCCGCATTGTCACACCTGAGCTTGGCTGCACTCCTTTGCACACCCGCTACGCAAGCCTGCCCACATGGCATTCAGGTCTGGTGCATTCTAGGCGCACAGCTGCGTTCTTTCCAGACATTCCGGGAGAGTCCAGGTGTTCTGCCGTGCCATCCTTGCATTATTTTGGGCACACCTAATGCTGCAGTGCCATGCCACAAAACGGTGCTCCACAAGCAGCAAGCACACTGCCAAGCAATGAACGAGTCCCGAGGCACACAGTGGAAACCGCTAGCATAAACAACACATTCCTTTAGTCTCATGAATGCACCAGTTCTGCGATGTCTAATATGCCATCAGGTTGCCCTGGTGCCGTTTTGCTTTCTTTAGATGGGCAATCAGCTGATCGGCAGCACGTTGTTGAGGTATTTCCAAAGATTGTCCATATTCTGGCTGTCGACCAGCCAGTCCTAAAGCCTCTGTTTTACCGAGTGAAGATGCCCTTTGTGTGTGTGAGGCAGCAGTACCTAACTGCCAGTACTGTGTAGGCAATTAAAAATACTTGGGTGCTTCTCCCCTGCCTGATGTTTTTTTTTGATTCTGCGATGTGATTTGCAGAAGCCAACTATGTGCTTAATAGGTACAACACTTAAAAAAATCATGACTAATCCCTCTGTCACAAGAATCAGCATATATAACACAAAATTTAAATATGTCTCCACAGAGGGGTAATTGAGCATTTATTGTGCACAAGTGCGAAGGAATGGTTGCTATAGCAACAAATTGTAATGTCATAAATAACAGCGAGCTGCTCAAAACTTGCTGTGCGCTCCCTGAAAAAAGAGAATGCACAACAGGAACATACACAGCAGATCAAAATAACAATTGTCTCAGCTCCACGCTTAAAGTGCGCTGCTCACACAAAGGACTACACACGAACCAACACACCAGTATGCACAGTGCGAGTGCGAACTGTAGCAGTTGTTACTGCTTCATTGTGTGCGAGCAGTGCACTCAAATTTCAACGCAAATGTGTGGTCAAACGACAAGACGTACAAACCGCTTCATCACGAGATAATAAGGTGCACACGGAGTGACGACCTTCAGAGCTTTGTGCAGTCTTGCTAGTGATGGCAATAACGCAGTGAAGTGCCACCGAGCTCGGAGTATCGCCAATGATAAATGGTGTATATAAATAGCTCGCCGTTCATAAGCTGAAAAATGGACAGTCTGTCGCATAGTCATTTCGTGCTGTGGATCAAGGGGTCATAGATTCGACACATGGCGAAACTTTTTCTTCGTCCTTTCAACGAAAGCTGTATGTGGCTAGGAGAAACGAATTTTACCACGAAAAATGACAATACTAATATCCGTTGGCTGCTTCATCGGTTATGTCATTTTCTACATTCCACAAAAGTGAGAGTTGCGTTGGGAGTGACGACGTTCACTCCTTAGCAGTTGTGCCGCCAAGCATGCAGTTTCAAATTGCAACTTGGGTAAGGCACGAATCGAACGAGCCGCTTAACAGCAGAAAATTTTCCAAGAATGCCCCGGAGAGCTGATCCGTGAGAGAATTCATGCTTGCCATGGCAATGCAGCAGTCTGGGCTCGAGAACAGGTCCGGGTGCCGAAGCTCATGCAGCAGCTGTGCACCGAGGAGCTCTATATGCAGATTGAAAGTGACAGTGGTAGCTGAGAAAGCGGCAGGAATGACATGACTTCACTGGGGTTGATGCCAGCTTTCAGCCATTTTCTCGAGTGGCTGCGACATCTGTGATCACCTGTAGCCGCGTGTTTCAGCTTCACTGTACGTGGGTGGTAATTTTTTTATTTCTTTGCGATCTGTTAGCATATATTTTAGAACATTGTATCGATGTCGAAAATACACCAGTAAAACAGTGGTGGTGGACCCCAGCACTTGTGTTCAAATGGGCAACTTATGACTGCTTGCTGACAGATGGGTTATCAGATTCCTCGTACCCACCGATCAAGATTGCAGCAGGGCAAGTGCTCCATCAAAGGAAAATAGCCTGCAAGCATGTCCTCTCTTGTGGACGTGAGTGGATGTCTTTGCACACAGTGAGCAGGACAAACTTGCCAATTTCTGCACCAATCTCTTGAAAATGCATAGTTGTGAATTCTAGCAGCGTGATTTATGAAATGTGGAAAACTCTCATTGAACTGAGATTGAATGGGGCAATTTGGTGTCCTTTATCATATTGACTGCCACTTCGCATCAGTTCAACTAGAGGTTTATTTCCACATATCCTGGCTACGTAAGCTGGCTAGCTAAGGAAAGCTCTTACCTGTTGATTTCATTCTTGCCATGTAGTGAAGTGGATGCAAGAGGCCCTTGTATGCAAGAACTTCAAGAGTAGAACGTGATAGCAGGTTAGATTCACAATACCTGCTCAATCACTTGTCTTGCAGTGGACACCTGAACTGTGTCACATGGACACCACTGTCCGTCATTGGCGATATTGAAGTATCGCAAAACACTTTCTTGCTATTACCCAGAGTGGGTGTTGCTGTGATCGTTCACTCACCATGGGAATGATGGGAAGTTCATGCCTTTGGCTTCGAGTGCACTTGTGGCTTTGCTTATTGTTGTTTCGTTAAGTGTTTTGAATAAAAGAACGGATAGTGGCCCCAAGACCAAACCGAGCCGAAAGAACAAAGCTTAGACACATCCATGTACTGCCCATCATTCCCATGCTGGCTGAAGTTGCATCTCGTGTGGAGACTCGCACCTGAGTTTGCTCTAGTGTATTATTAAGAAACTCTGGCCTAGAATGCCTGCTAAAAGTGCAGTTGCGAAGTGCCCACATTATCTGCAATTCCTTCTTTTGCAAATTGATAAAGTACCCTCTATGCGTGCATAAGACAACATATTTGCAACTTCATTGATGCTCTTGTCACTGGCAATAATTAACCCTTTATTGCCGGATGTCGGGAATTCGCGGCAAACCGAAAGACTTTCAGCAAGTAAGTCAGGAAATGCGTGCCACCTTTATTGCTGGCTGCCAAGTACTCGCGGAGCATGTAGCTTTCAGTATGAAAAATCTAGCGCAGTCTCGTCCAAGATACTTTAGGCTAGAACCAATTGTTTTGGAGCTCCTGGAGGAGAGTGCAAAGCGCGTGCAACAACTCTCACTTATTTGTTTTTTCTCGCCATGGTGATGCAAGTTTTATCTTCAATAATTTTGTTTATTTTGCGTGTGCGCACTCAAGAAATGGCACACATGTTGCGTAGTTCTGAAGTACGTTTTTTGTTGCAAGATTCTCGCTTCTGTGACATATGCAGAATTCACGGCGTATGCAAATTACGCATTTAAGTTGTATTTTTGATAATTTACCTGAGGAATCATTTAAAGGTTGCTACTTAAAGCTGGAAAATTAAAACAATTTTTATTTTGCTTGGCGGTTTTATAATTCAGGCAATAAATTATTAGTTACGCTCGAGCCTTAAGGACAGGACAGGAACGTCTGTGTGTAACATTGGCAATTCTAGATTCTAGATTGATGCATGGGGTTTAACGTCCCAAAACCACCAAATGATTACGAGAGACGCCATAGTGGAGGGCTCCGGAAATTTCGACCATCTGGGGTTATTTAACATGCACCCAAATATGAGCACACGGGCCTACAGCATTTTCGCCTCCATTAAAAATGCAGCCACCGCATCCGGGATTCAATCCCGTGACCTTCAGCTCAGCTTCCGAGTACCTTAGTCACTAGACTATCCTAGAGTGCCTCCCTAAAGTACAGTTGCAAAGTGCCCACTGCACAGTAATTTTCCTTTAGTGAATTGACACAGTGTCCTGTATGCATTTGTAAGGCAACATGTGCTGCTGCTGTTAGTGGCAATGATTATGCCGAAGCACTTTGTAGTGGGTTGGCTTTTAAGCCACTTATACATTGTGCAATTCGCATGTTTAGTGCCTGGTACAATTCTATGCTTTTTCCACACATAACATGCATTAAGAAGACAGTGTCAAGCATAGATGTGGCTCTGTGCAAGCCACGGTGTTAGAAAAAGTTAAGTGCCGATACTTGCCGTTCTGCTTAAGGAGAGGGCGTGGGCAGATTGTGTTTGCCGATAACTTTGAGCCACAATAGTTTTCGCTGCACAAGTAAGTAGATGCTACAATACTAAGTCCTTGGGGCTCGCATTGAGCACATTCTGAATTTATAGTGCATAGGGAGATCCTTGTGAAAACTTTGTGTGCATGCTGTTCTGTGAGGAAACGAGTTTGCCTGCCTGTGAGAGCTTCGTTTTGCCGATTTATATTTTGTGATTCACTGATTTTACACCTCGATGCTGCATATCGTCACTGGCTGCGCCTCGAAATGGGCAAAAGGTGTTTGTCCCAAATTGCAGGTCGAATATAGAAGTTGTACGAAGCATGTCTCTTTTTAAGGCTCTGCATGAAACAGCGTCAAGATAAGTGGCGATTGCAGATTCCGAGAGCAGACAGTTTTGGGGCCTACTGACCACGTGTGGCAAAGCATTTCCCAGAATGAATCCCTATCATGCAGAATGCGAAGGGAATTTCCTGTAGCGTATTTAAAAGAAACCTGTGCTCTTTAGTTGCTGTACCTAGCATTTTCCAAAATGCCTGAGAGCAGCAAAAAGACTGCAAAAATGGCAGGCTCTGGGGACCAAATGATTCAACTGCCTCTGAAGTGACAAACCCAACGGCTGAAAATACGCCAAATTTATTACGCATAGAAACAGAATATCCAGGGCATGGCAGTGCCCAATCAAGAGGCCACGCTTTGACTTTAGCAGTAACAGGCCGTGTGAAGGAGAGGATGCTTCTCAACACCACACTTAGTATAGTACTTAGCACAAGAAAAAATGCAGCACATGCAAGCACTTGTTGGTTGTGTGTCTTTCTTATGTGCCGAATTTTCGCTTGCACTAAGCAATTGCCGTCAGTATGCACCAAAGAAGCTCAAAAAGTCCTATCTATTAAATCACACTGATACAGTGCAAGTGGCCTAGGCTTACAAACTTGCTTTGTCGTCAAGCTGCAAAGGTAATGTTTTAAATTCAGATGCCACTTTTCAAGTTGTGTCATCTATGCTTATTAGGACTACGAAACATTAAAAGCTGTAGAATAACCAGTGAACTGAACACAGGCACTCGCAAGTGCACACACAGATGCGCTAGCACATTGAATGCACACAGGCACTAACAAACATGCGCACATTTTCCCAATCATTAGCATGCCTTTGCTTTTTGGTGGAGACTGTCGCACGGTAGGCCGAACCGTAATTGCCTCTAGCTGTTATCGTTATTTGCAACTAACTCGTATTTCCAATCACGCCCAACACTTTTTTCTTAGAACCAAAGATGCCGTCACTGCTGAACTGGATATTCAGCGAAACGAGCTTTATAACGATGTCGTGTTAAAATGCAACCACTCTTCAGACCAGCATTTGGTGCTGTTGAAGCATTTATATGAAAAAAATGCTGTTGAAAAATAAGCTTCATAAGTGTATTTCGTGACTGCAAAGTCCCAGTGCATTAATTTATTCACATCTATGAGCATATGCATGGACCTTTTCGCTGCTTATCTACACAGGCTTCCGGTTATGCGCACTTGCTTAGTAGCATTTGCAGGAAGCCTTAGTGAGTAGCTCACTCATTTTCACTTTTGCTGAGACGCGCCAAATATTTCAGATATGTGCCATTGGAGTTGTATATAGCATACCCTTCCCATGCAGACTCGTTAATATTGGTCAGACTCCCGCACCGTCTGATGTGGTCTGTAAACTTGAGACTGAGGGAGCACGAAAATTCCCTCTGGGGCATTGTGCGCTTGACGCACTTGGCCATGCACTGCCAAGACTGCGGGTGCACTGCAGATATTTCGATAACAAGAGTTCTTTTCTGCCACCGCGACCAGCTGACAGGGAAATATTCGAAGCCCACAGAATTCAAAATGCAGGGCAAAACTGCGTCGGTGAATCGTCAATTGGTCTCCATGATAACGAAATATCATTTTTAGATTATCACCACTAACGTTATGGCAAGATGCCTCATGTCTACATAGAAGTGTTTTTTTTAGTTTTCTTGCCTTGCGAGAGCATGCGTGAGTAAATGTATATGTTTGATGTATCTTCATTAAATTTCTCAGTTGAACGTCAGCGCTCGTCTTGTGTCCTGCCTTTACTCTGTCTTCCGTTTTTCTCGCTGTTTACCTCGACCAGCTATGAGTCATTACCAACTTGCCCAGTTTTCAATACTATTCAAATATGTTTTGGCCTAAGCTACGTAAGACATAAGCGTTAGCCCATTACTCTTCCTGAAAACGCAAGAAGAGCTTTTCTATACTCTATCACAGCTTAATAAAAAGCTTTCTGCTTCAATGTCCGAAAGTGATAATCAAGGCGATAATCAACCTGTGCGCCTGCTAATGCAATCTCAAAACCGAGCAAAAAGGCGAATGTCAAGCATAGTAAACAAGCGAAGCTCTACGGATCGGCACCTTTCCCCAATGTCTCTAGTGAGCCGTTAAAGCCCCTTTAAAGGGCTTTATGAGCCACAATCTGTCGCTGCTAAAATAAAACTACCTAGACGACGAACACAATGCGGACGCAACGTCCTAAAATTTAAGACCACGGTGCATGCACACCTGCTTCATGTCATAAACCCTTGCAATTTATTTGCATCTATCTCTAATTTTCAGTCATGGACAGCCCCAATTTTTCGCTTGCCGCTACCGATGCCGACACTGAAATTTCAGCAAAATGGGCTGTTTACCGCTCTTTTGCAAGGCAGCAGCATTTGCCCATAAAATAGGAATACAGAGTCCACAGTTTATAATGAAAATATTTTATGCATACAAATGTCTTGGAAATCTGCCCGTGACACTCGTTCTTACAACACAGTAATTAATCAGTAAGGCGCAACCATCTGCTGGCCACACACAATGCTTGTGCATGATTCTCACTTAGGCTGACGACTTAAAATTTTTTTGCTTCTATCTCCAATTTTCTCTTGTGGAAAACACAATTTTTGGCTCACAACCATTAATTTTAACCCTCAAATTTGTGAAAAATTAGCCCTAACTGCCACTTTATTAAGAGGCAACATTTGTGCATCAACTTAGAATTCAGACTGTACAGTTTATCCTCTGTTCCAAGATGGAAATTCCAGGCCAATGTGTTTCAAGCTTTATTATGCTCCCGAGTGCACTAGAAAACAGGCAAAATTATATTTTGGATGAACCGTGAAAAAAAGTGGTAAAATTTTAATTATTTTCTCTAAATAAATTTAGTATTCGATGTTTTTAAACAGCTACTAACTACAATTAACTATATAGATTATACATAAACATTGATTTCAACTTCATTTAAGACCCTTTGGTAGTGCTGTCACACATACCAATTTAAAAAAAAAAATGTTGACATTAAATGCGATTTTCAAATCCTCTGTGCATCACAGATGCAGACATTGAGCGCCATTCTGCTTGAGCTAAAGCAATGCTCTCCATTTGAGAAATTCAAGTTGAAGGTAAAAAATATTTGCTTCAGAATTGGCTGTGCTTGCCCAAAGCAATGACTCCGAAAATGGGTTCACTGGGACTGAAAAGGGTATGAAAATATTTTATGCATAAAAATGTCTCGTAAATATGCATGACACTCATCCTTAATTACAGCAAATGTTTAAGGCACAACTGAGAAGAGAATAGGCCCTGCACTTAGATCAGGCAGCAGGGACGCCATAAGGCTTGACAAAGGCTTTCCCCTTGAGCAGGCTGGTAAGCTCCATGGGGACGTTGGCCGGTGGACTGTTGGTCGGGGACAGGCCGCCCCCTGGCCCAATGTGCAGCCCATACACCAGGTACTCCAGCAGGAACATGTCCACCGGATTCACTCCGTGGAAGGTGATGGCGTGCTGGCTGCAGCAGCGTCCACCCTGTAGTTTCCAAAAAAAGGCTCGTTTGGCACTGTGGGGATTCATCAAAACATCACCTCAAGCTGGCTACAACATGCCAAGCTGTGGTGTTTGCATGGGCCGGTGGAGAACGTGCATTGCAAAAATCTGTGAACACATTTTTACCCTTTGAGGCGCAATTTACACTATCATGCACACCTCTCGTTTTGCTATTTGTATCATCTATGGGCTAAGATATCGATCTTTGAATGAACTGCTCTTAATAAATTTCTCTGTTGCATATGACCAGTTTGCTGAGGGCACTATCACGTTCGACGAGTTGACGTGCCAAACCTAAGCAACAACGTGCTTGGGTTTGGCACGTTGACTTGCCCGAGCACATACCCTATAGAGCATAGTCAAGACTCCGCACTTGACAATTCGCCGTATGTTTCACACAACTAGCTTTTTCTAGACATTAACTGAATGTATCAACTGCATTTCTAAATCTTGGCTCAATGAAACAGCTTTATCCTGACTTGACAATCGATGTGATGCACAATCTAGACATCGCAACCCAAACAACACAAAAGCATCCACAGTAAGCCCATGGGATGTCTTTAAGTTCAGTAAAACTTGTAGCTGGGAGAGTTGGTTCATACTTCAAGGTAAACTTGTGTGAGCAAATAAGATCAAGGACACGGAAAGGTTAACTGGGACAGGTGCAAACTTTTGACTGTTAAAAGTTAGCACCTGTCCCTGTTCATTCTTGCTGTATCCCTGTCTTCATTTGCGCACACCAGTTTACGCTGATGTCTAAGCTTTCGACACACACACACGAATTATTCATGTCTTTGTTGAAAAGGTTGCAGTACTTAATAGCAGAAATTTGTTGTTAACAAAAAACAAAACGTCCTGCCGGGGATGTTGCTTGGACGTAAATCAAGCATCATTGACCCTTGTGTTTACAATTTTGTGGACATGGCTCTGTGGACATTTTTTTTTTTTTTTTTTTGCAAGTTCCACAAAGGATTAGGCCAGTGGGACCTTTCCGGGACATCCAAGTAACGTGTTCTGTTGTCTGAGCTGCATGCAGTTTCATGCCTGACTTGCGGTGATGTGCGATAAGACCATGCGTGAAGTACCGCACCACGAATTAAGAACAATGTCATTGCTGCTAATGTTGCAAGTAACCAGCCCAAATTTGTGTACGTGCCTCGGGGCTGCGGAAGATGCTGGATCGCCGGTGTTCGTAGGCAACCGATCCTGGTATGAGCATCTGCTCGACACCGAACAGGTTGAATCGGCTCCGCAGTAGCGTGTCGCGCGTGTCAACGGGCTGCGCACGTGGCAGCGAGGCAGCCACCATACGCTCGAGATCGGCCGCCGGCCGGCAGCGGTTTCGAAGCGCCCGCACGGCGCCCTCACTGAGCGCTATGCCGGCCGCGAGCGCGTTGTAGAAGCCGGAACCCCATCGCACGGAGTGTCCCAGGTAGTGCACTTGACTGGCGTTCAGCGGAGCCACGTAGAGGCGCAGGTTCTCCACCACGGCGAACGTCTCGTCGTCCACTAGCAGCAGCCAGCGGAACAAGCCTCCGTGCCGGGCTAGTACGCGAGCGAAGAGTTCGCACGCCGCGGCGACGTCGCCCAACGGCACACGTTCGACGGGCACGTGCGCGTCCGAGAGGGTCCCGAAGAACACCACGCGGTTGCAACGGCGGCTCCAGGTGTTCAGCACCGAGCGCGCCTGCTGCGCGGATGTGGCGCGCACCAAGCATAGCACGGGCACCCGTTCGTACAGCAGGCGTGCCTCGTTCACGTCACCGCTGGTTGCGCGCCTCAGACCATGGTCGGAGAGCCACTTGAGATAGCTGGGCGACCGCGGTAGCACGACTGGCGGGGTCTGCCTGCTGCTGTCGAGGATCTCCCGATACTGCAACACGATCACGGCTAGCAACGACCCCGACACGGAGGCGACGAGGAAGGCGGCGACGCGGGCGAGGCCGTGCATGGGGCCTGCACTCGGCGTAAATTAACTGCATACCCTTTCTCTACAGGTTGTGATGCTGCAAGCCGCGCCGACATCCGCGTAAATACAATCGAAGGGCGCTGCGCTACCAATTGTATACGTATTGTCTGCTAATAGGACATCCCACTGGTGCGACAACTATGTGCCTGGTAGGTGTTTTGTGTGTGTGCGTTATTCCAGACCTCTACCACAGACCATGACCTACTACACTCCTGACCTGTTCAGATAGCGGGGTTCCTATGGGAGCGCGTGTCCCCGCTCTCGTTCAATCGCTCGCCGTAGGTGACGCTACCTATAACCTGTTCGTCTGCTACTGTGCGGCCGGCAGGAGGGCGACGGACTGATACCATGCGTCTGCTTCTGTGACAAACTGCCTATACGTGTGATTGTTTTTTGCTGAAAAGGCTAACGTGTGCTATGTGTTACATTTTAGTAGTTAGGCTATACTGGTTGATTGACTTCTAAAGCTGTATATTTGCGTAGAAATGTCTTGCTGCATGGTTGTTTTTGCCATTCCAGCCTAAAAAAACTTCAATTTAGTATTCATAAAGCTTTTGACTAATAATGTACTCATTGGTAATAGAATATCAAACTGATTTTAGGTTGTTTAGGACGCGTCAGGTGAAACGCAGTGCCCCTGTTGAGCACTTACCTTGGACACTCGCCCTGGACAGGTGTTACACTTGTAGTCAATTGATAGAAGAGAATAATGCACATACGCCCACGGACGCATATCAAGGAGAGACACAGGAATTGAAGCTTTAACTCTTACTGTGACCTACACAACAAAAATTGTGCGTCAAATTTCGCTACGGGAGTTTGTCTGCTGGAACGGGGAGCGCTGGCCGATGCGCGTTTCTATGATTTTATATGTCCGTGCGATGAGACGATATGGTAAAGGCAGTGATGTGCCTATCGAGGGCAACACATTGCGACCCCAATAAAGTTTTTATCGTCATCATTATCATCATCTTGTCGAGCATAGTTAATAATAATAATAATAATAATAATAATAATAATAATAATAATAATAATAATAATAATAATAATAATGTTTTATTTTTCATCAATAGTTTGATGAAGGACAGCGGCAGGTAAAAGCTGCTCTTCGAAAGAGGCAGCTTGACATAGGCCCACAGACGCCTTTAGCACTCGGCCTCTTGTGCAGTTTCAATTGGGTTTTCAGAACTATATACTTCCCCAGGCTCCGCTGATGCTCGCTCTTCTTGAGAAGAATCTGCGTTGGACGTTCCCCTGTTAAGCCGAAAAAATAGCGAAGCATGACAGATATATTGTCCCGCTAAACGCATAAGGGAATACTGCTAACATTATTCTTATCCGTTGTTGTGTTAGACTTCAAGTTTTACTTACAGTATTTTTACTTGTATGGGTGCCAGCGTTGTTTCCCCCTGCGTTCGTTTTAGCCGCTTTTTCCGCGGCATTGGATCTTGCCCACGTGGATCAGGAGAAGCGGGAAATAAGGAAGGCACGGCTGTGGGCTTCAACATCTTCCTTTTCGTCACTGTTCTGTAATCTTCAGCGGTAAAATGCAGGCTGCATACCTTCGACCGGTCGCTGGGCTCCCAGCGATGCTTTCCTGAACCTTCATCAAAGGTAAAGGCGTATACGCATGGCTAGCAAGATTGCAAAATAACAGTCCATAACACCTTTTTTGTAATTAATTTTTCCAAAATGTAACAAGCCAAATGGGGAGGTTAAGAAAAAGCATAGCCACGATTTTATTCTGGGGAAGTACCTGTATACCCATTTAGTGCATTTTCATATTTTCTCGCAGCCTTTGTAAATGTCTTTTTAGATGACTACATTCGTCGATTGATGTTTAGTGATGGTACGTGGTCGAGTCCAGTGGCATACTTGAAGCCCTTTATTCGAAGAGCTCATTGGCTATACAAGGTTTCATAACAAAGCTGAATTTCCTAATGGCTGCTCAGTAACGAAGCGCGACCCAATACGACAGAGCCGAAACCGAGGCGCACTTGAGCGCCTTGGTCTTGGTTTAGAGCGCAAACCTCTAACCTGTACAATGACTCCGCCGTTGACGACGATGACTTCAGTGGTTTTTGTTCTTTTGCATTCTCCAAAACGAATCTTTGTCATGCATGATGTAATCTCAGATGCAGCACGCACATAAATAGAGTATCTGTCGCTGATTATTCCAGGTTCCTCATTTCGGTTTCACCGGCTGGGTCTCTTAACCCTCACAGAGCCGATGGGCTCATTGCACGAAGGACTTCAATTATGTCATTATACCCGACCGCCTGCCAGCCCTATATAGAGTGAACAGTTAATCGCCACATTTCGTTACCGGCGTAACGTTTCTAATTACCTTAAGTAAGCTTATACAGAAACGAACAAAGCTGTATGGGAAGATAGAGGTTTGAGATGAGAAATACATTTGACCAAATTCGGTCGCTAACTTCAGTGACACCCAGTGTTCAAGAGTTGTCCATCGCTAAACACACACACACACACACACACACACACACACACACACACACACACACACACACACACACACACACACAGAGAGACAAACTGTGGAGGCAGCACGTAAATATTTCATATCATTAATTTTTTTATGGATTTCGGCGGCATTTGTTGAGGCAGCCTTCGGGAAGGGTGCTCGAACCCCTCGCAACCCACCGCTACGCATTTTTACATAATTTACAGATTTCGTATATTTACTTTTTTCTTGTGTGCTATATTTAAATTTCTTGGCACTATTTGTGGAGCCTGCCATATTAGCCGCGGTACTTTAAAAAAGCTTTCATGTTTTTTAGCTCAGTGAATTAGCATAACACACGGAAATAAAGTTTACTAAAGCACCCTGGTGCTTCTTGCTAGCTTGCAACTCGTTCTGAATTGAAACGACTCTCAAAAACACAAGACTCACCTTTTCTTCCAATTGCCTCGATCCATTCTTCCCGTATGTCTGTGGCAGGAAACTCGTGAAAACTTACTTTACTTTGTTTGCCTTGTTCCGATTTGCAATATGGCACGCAGCAATACACCATACTTACATTTGAGGTGTCAGCTCATCTAAAAAAAAAAAACTGCACGCGGCCACTATTAGAGCTGACTACTGCAGCTATCTGCCGTCTGCAAGTTTCTGCACACGACCTACTGTGTTTCTGCGTATCTTCTGCAATTTGTGTATGCGTATCGTCTGGAACCATCGTGATTCAGTGTGAACAATGAATGCCTAACAATAGTTTTTTTATCTCGTTGGACTACGTTTTCATTCAAGAAATATTTTCATAATAAATTTTCCTTCATTTGTAGAAAAGTTCCCGTCTGCTTGCCACTGTGACCCTTTGTGTGCTTTTTTTACGGTTCTATTTCTGCTTCAAACGTCCACACGAATGCAGCCAACTCTGACGAGGAATCATATCGCTTTATTTGCCATATTTTACACATTCATACACAATTCATGCACAATAAGAACGATTTGCACTGCCACAGCGATGGCTGAAGCAGACGACAGCGAACAGGTGCTGCCTAGCGCCACGCCGCTCGTAGGTGACGGCCCTAGCGGCAGAAGGTATGAACTAGAACGTGGGCGCTGGAAGAGGTGCTCTCTGGGCAGGTCAGGAGTGTAGTAGGTCATGCCACAGACACCTACCAGTCACAACCATAACAGCTACCCACAGAACACCTACCAGTCACACCAACCCACGTGGTCGGAGGCATAGAGTTTCTCACAATACTTGCTAGAGAGAACTCTGGCGCTAGTGTCTATGGGAGCTGCAACGCACGGCGCTCCAGCGAGCATGGCACGGAGAAAGGAAAAACCTTTTTCCTTCCTCCGTGGAGCATGGGAATGATGGGTAGTACACACATTTGTCTAATATTCGTACTTATGGCCTGCCTTTGGCTCCGTGTGTGTTCGTGTAGCTTGGAGCTGTTTTCTTACGAAACAAGTATTAGCAAGTGTTCAGTGGTTGCGCTTCACCATTTTATTTTTTTTTAGACTTACTTTCCAAATTGGTTCACGAAGTTCAAAAGCATTCAATCTTTCTTTCAAAACAAAACCGAAACACAGCAATAAACGAAGCCGCAAGTACGATTCGCCGCCCGCAAGTACGAAGACTGGGCCAAGGAGGTTATACTAAACTTTCTGGAGTGGCGGAGGGGCTCCGCGGCTGACGCCACGCGCCGCCATATTGCTCAGGGCAGAAAGCGGTCGAACGCATTGTAACGCGTGCATGTGCGTGCGGCCTCTCCGTTGTTTTTCTTGAGTGCGGTGCCTCTAATCGAATGAGGCCGCTGTGGCAGACGACTGTGACCTCTTCTGAAGACGATGGTGGGCTCTTGCGCAGCATTTGGCTGCGCAAATCGCGTGAAGCAAACACCGGGGATAACTTTTCACGTGTAAGTAGCGTGCTTTGCTCGCTCGCTTTCCCTCGCATATTTTTGCGATTACGAATGCATTCGCGCGTACAAGCATTTCCCATTTACGTCCGGGTGCCATGGAGACACTGTGAAACATTTTTGTGCTTTGCAAGTTTCCCAAAGACTGCGAATTGCGCAGTGCATGGGAGCGCGCTGTGAGGCGAGAAGGTTGGACTCCGAAGAAGAATGACGTCTTGTGTTCAACGCACTTTGAAGCAGACTGCTTCGATAGAACAGGGCAAACAACGAGACTACGAGCTGGTAGCATCCCTACCAAGTTTGCAGCGTTTCCAGCGCACCTACAAAAGCCAGTGAGTACGCTTCGTGAGCTCTTCGTTTACCAAATGTAGATATTGTAGCGTTAGCTCCGCATCTCTGGGATTTTCAGTTTCTAATATTTAGTTGCGCATTCGCTCTAAATGCCTAAATTTCTGACGCTGTCGCGTTATTCCTCTTTTTGCGTAGGAGAAGAGAAAACGAGCTCCTCCAAAAAGTCGGGAGATGCCTTCGCCTCAGGAGCCTGTTTTGGATGAAGCTGCCGAAGTCTCCCCCCTGCAAACTTCCCCCCCGAAGGAGTGGTACAAGCAGAAAGTGCATGAATCGGCGAAAGAGGTACAGCAGCTGAAAAAGAAGGTCAAGACGTTGCACCAGAAGAAACGGAGACTTTCAAAGCGCATTGATGCTTCTCAGGATTTGATTGAGCAGCTAAAGGAGCAGAACCTTTTGTCGGAAAAAGGGTTGGAGGTTTTCCAAGCGTCATTTTCTCCGGATATCCA